GGGAAAACAAATCATTACACGTTAACGCAAAGATAAGAAAGCACTCGTAATAATGTCGTTCAATTATTTTGAAAGTTTATCAAAAGAAGCAGCAGAAAGATATCAGCGAAAATTAAGTCTTTTAGGTGATTATTTTTCATGTTAATTTACTTTTTTAAATAATTTTCGTCAGAATAAACGAAAATAATGCATAGCATTTTGATCGTTTTAGGATTGGACAAGTGTCCATATAAGTATCCGGCTGATTCTTGGACTGAAGATCCAATTCAATGGCCTTCCTTAAGTTATCATAATCTATATCAATACCTAATTAAGACTCCATGTAAGAAATATTTCTAAATAGTTGTTTATAAGTTATTATATATTTATTAAGTTATTATATATTTAATTCCTAAATCCTAAAATTATGTTAGTTTGCTCAGTGAATATTAATGTTTGCTTACACTTATTTTAAACATTCAACACTATGTAGGCATCTATTCTCCAGAAGCTATGGAAAACTACAAGTCATTGGAGGCTTGGAAGTTCTTTCAAGAAGGTTGGGTGCAAACTGTTGTCCATATGAAGATAAGTCAAGATATCATGATCTTAAAATGTGATGTTAGACCTTCTTACAGAACCACATCTCCTAATCATAAGCCTTGGATTGCTCTTGGTTCACTTGGTAATGTAGTGACTGCTCACTGTAATTGTATGGCCGGGTAAGTGTCTGGAGAGCACTTGACTATAATAATTTAACACTAAAAGTTATCTTGTTTTGTGAACTACTAAATTTTGTTTACATTATTTAAATCTGTTGAAATTATTTATAGGTGTTTTTGGATTATTTAAATCTATAGTTTATTGTTTTTAACAGCCTTGGTGAAACATGCTCACATGTAGCTGCAACATTATATAAAGTTGAAGCTGCTGTTCGCATTGGAATGACATCATCCACACCAACTGATTTACCATGTCAATGGAATCAAACATTTGTAAAAAATATTGTTGGTTCCCCAGTTTCTCAAATAAATTTATATTCTGATGCTGCTAAAGAGAAACTTACAGGAAAAAGAACTAGGAAAATGCCTGTTTCTCCAACAAATATTGAAAAATATCAGTTTTTGTCAGAATTGAAAAGTGTACAGCCCAAAACAGCTGCTCTCAGTTTGTTTAAAGATTTTGATACTGAATTTATACACTTAGAATCTACTGTTGTAGCAAAATTGCCTTTATCTCTCAGAAATTTTTTCAATGCAAACTATAAATCTCTAGATAATGAACAGTTAAATTCTTTTTTTGATGAGAAAATAAAAGATTTAAAATTAAATTCTAGTGACATTGTCTATGTTGAAGAAGCAACTCGAAATCAATCTTTGTGTGATTCTTGGTATCAGGTACGAGTTGGACGAATAACTGGTTCTACTTTGTATCAAGTTTTTCATGCTAGAGTTGAGACACCACCTAAATCTTTAATTTTAAATATTTGTTCAGAATAGAAGATAACAATAAAAAGTCCTCCAATAGTGTGGGGAAGAGAAAATGAGGAAAATGCATTGACTTTATATACACAACTTTATTCAGACTGTAATGAAGTTCATAACTTATTGGCACTTTCAGACATTGTCATCCATCAAAATTTAAAAGTTGAAAAATTAGGGCTTTGCATCGACTATGAAAAACCATGGTATGCAGCATCTCCTGATGCTTCTGTGTATTGCACTTGTTGTGGACATGGAGTTTTAGAAATCAAATGCCCTTTTAGTTTAAAAGACAAATCTTTGAAAGAAGAAATACTGAAAGATGTTTTTTATGTAGGATTAAATACGGATGGGAAATATTTTTTACAAAAACAGCACATTTTTTCCAGGTTCAGCTTGAAATGAGAGTTACTGGAGTGAGCTATTGTGATTTTATGGTATGGACACCCAGTGAGTTTATAGTTTTACGTATTGAACCTGACATTAGTTTTATGGAATCGGTGTTTAATAAATGTGATGTTTTTTGGAATAGATTTATTTTGAGGGAATTAGTAACAAGAGAAGTTGAATCAGGAATGAAATTGCCCTCCTCTACATTAACAGAAACCATAAATAATGATGATAATGTTTTTTGTATTTGCAAATCTAAAAGCTCAGAAAATGATGATGCGGCTGTGATTCATGTGATAATTGGTTTCATCTTAAATGTATATCTTTGAAATCTGTGCCAAGATCGTCTGTATGGTATTGCAATAGCTGTAAAAACAAGAAAAAGTCTGCACACTAAAACGTAATTATTTTTTATAATTTCAGCAGCAAAAAGTTTTTTTTTAATAATACATTTTTTTATTATTATCTTCTTAGAAACCAATACATTAATGGAGCAGTATTAATGCTATTCTCCTTATCATTTTCATGATATTTGTTGTTAACATTATTATGCTGGGAAATGGAATGGAAAAATCATAATTTGAGGTGAAATAAAGAATATCCCATTTTTAAAAAACGGCTATTTTCATAGCCACATATTATTAAAAACATTAAAGCATATGATATAATATTGAAAAAAACTGTTACAGATTAATAGATAATCAAACTCTTCCTATTCCCCGAAATCTCGGTGAATAGGAAGAGTTTGATTACCTGGTCTAAATAAAAAAGAAGTAAGGCGGTATTTTTCCTTAAGTTAATCGGTTTCTTTTTTGGAAAAAATATTTTACCTTATTCCTCGGGGGAAAACATTTTGTCGTATTTTATGTTATAATATTGTTTTAAACCCAGGGGTAATCTTTTTCCGGATATTTTTCTAAATGTTATGTTTTTCCGGATATCCAAACTGTCTGACCTACATATTATTTGTTTGTATTTTTGTAATTTATATATACTTTATTTGGTTTTTCATTCATACAACAATATAAAAAAGAAATAGGAAAGTAAGAGTAAATATATAACGGATTTTTTCCGAATATACAACTGTTTATACACAACTGTTTACCGGATTTTTAAAATATGACTTGGATAATCACTGTAAACTATCGTTGTTCGATGACGGCTCATGTATGCAAGATTAGTTATGAAGGAAGCGTGAAATTAATACTGTTACGCGGTGCTCTATAAAAAGACCCTTAGCACTTCTTGGAGCACCTAAATTAACAAAATCTTATTTATTAATGTTATACAAAAAGTCTAATGCGTAAATTGAACTCTCAAAATACTAATGATAACAATGTTTCTATTGAATAGATTCCAACGATATTTTTTTACGCAAATTTACTCAAAATCAAATTTAGGAAAAAAAATTGTAGTAACAAATTATTTTACTAAAAAATCGTATTAACAAGTTATTACATTTTTGACAAAGCGGTATCGAAATGTATTTTCATATTTAATTCAGACGCCGGTCGGTATTTTATTCATTTATATTTTTATGTTGTAACGACATAAAGTTGTGGCTCGTTTTTTTCAAACCTAATAAATATTCTAATCCGTATTTCGCACATTTATTAGGTTTATAAATATTCTATTAAACTTATTCAACACACCTAAATAACTTTAAAGAATGGACTAGTTTTCATGATCATTTTCCGTATCGTATTGTATTCCATACCATATACATTTCGTATTGAATAGTGAAAATCCTTATTTACAGGGCTGTTAACAGCAAAAGTAGATCCCAAATGTATTTTCGGTCTGAAAATATGTACCATGTAATGCAGAAAGGCTTCTCCTTTTTCCGGGGCACCAGGGACGATATACATAGATCATCCAGGTAATATTGAAAAAAAAAAAGGGAAATTCTTTGCGTAAAATATCCGGAAAAAATGCGGAATATTTTTTCTCTTTTTTTCCTCATAATTTGCTTTCAGCTGAATTGTATCTTAATTTTTTTGAAATTTTCTTTTTTGAACGAGTGATGACTAAAAAGCCCCTAAAAATCAAATATATTATCTAAACATATATATAAACTTGTATGCATAGAAAACTTTTTTGATATCCGAAAAAACTAAATAAAATATCCGGAAAAAGATAATCCCTGATTATACATTGATCATCCGGGTCATATTTTAAAAACTAGGTAAGATATCCGGTATAATCCGGATTATATTTTCCACTTTATTTTGCTATTACCTGAGTTGATTTCCATTTTAATTTTAGTATGACATACAAAAATTATCAACTTTAAGTTTTCCCAGATATCCTAAAATTTTCCAGAAATTAAAGCTGAGGTATATATTTTGGAAATATATTTATTTTTATGCTTTTTCACTTATCGCTAATACAGTATGAGCAATAAGTGAAAAAGCTTGAAAATAAATACATTTCCAAAAGATATACCTCAACTTTAATTTCTGGAAAATTTTAGGATATCTGGGGAAACTTAAAGTTAATAATAATATCCGAAATTCCAAAATATCCGGAAAAAGAAAATCCATGAGTACAACTCTTGTACCACCTCTTGAGGTCCTTTTTGTCAAATAATGCTTTTATTAAGATATGTGGCTATGAAAATAGCCGTTTTGAGAAAATTTAAACGATTCCTTCACCAAGGTTTGTTAAAGCAGCATAAACTGTTACAATTTTGTCACAATTAGAAAGAGTAACTGAGGTAGCTTCATCAGTAATGTTTTTAACAGTTCGTAAAGGCAATACACCTTGAAGAATGGTGTAACGATTTTTCAACAGCCCAATAACTCTTTCTATGTGAATTCTAACAGATGATATTTTGCGAGATTTTTCTACCTCCGAAGCAGAAAGTTGTGCTTTATCCTTTGTAAAAGCTGGATTTATTAATATAGAGCAACTTTTAGCTGCAAAATCGTCTTGTAAAGTAAAACCTCTATCTGATAAGATTTGATCGCCTGGCATATGGTACTTGCTAGATGCAAATTCTGATTCCCGAGTTATTTGATTGTCAGAAGCTCTTCCACCATAGCATTTGGAAATAAAGTTAATCGTTCCATTAGGTGTGCATGAAATGAGACATTTTATTGTACAATGTTTTTCATATTGGCTGTAAAATAGTGCTCTTGCCATTAGAGATGATGGTTATTCCACAAAAACCTCAAAACAATCAATAATTGATGTTAGTCTTGGGAATTTGTTTTTGAAAACAGGAGGAATTGTTTCGTATATATGACCTCGATCTTGCATTTTTATTAAATATTTTAATTTCACATACATAATATCAATCCATTTCCAAAAGTTATCCAAGGCAGTAGTTTTTTTAATATCAAACATAAATGATAACATATCAAAGTTAATGTTGTGCCTTAATTTAACTAAACAGAAAACAATTTTATCTTCTGTATTAAATCTTTTTAATGAAATTTCTGGAGTTCCTTTGCATAGGAAACTCAACAGTTTTTCTAATACAGGAAGATTAAGTCCAGTGAGCATATTGCACTTATCAGGATTGGCTCGAATTTTATTTATTCCTAAACTGCAATTGCTATCTTTTAATGATATCCACTTCGACATAAATAAATCTCTTTCTAATCGAAGATTATTTATTTCACTATATAGTTGTTGTCTTTCTGATGTTTTAAGAGGTGTTTCAATATCAATTTCAGATTTTTCAGTATAACTCATTTCTGACTTTAAAGAACTATTGGTTGAACTTTGCTGAACATTGATGTTTACAGGAGCACTCTTTCCTTTAAATAAGAAAAAAATACAATAGATATTTTAAATTTGCATATGATGTTTAAATAACTTTTAAATTAATACCTTGTATATAACTCTTACTGGAATCTTGAACATAAACATCTTCATTAATTATAGGAACACTAAATTCTGAAATATATTATTAAATTATTTTTCAACTTCTACAAAATAAAGTTAATAAACAAAAAATAAACAAAATTACAAAAACAAAAAATACAAATAGAAGTTAAGTTAGAAGTAATTGAAGACCTTAGTGCTAAAAAAACTTAATTCGCACACATTTTTTTAGAGAAAACATATTTTAAACTTATATTTGTATAGCCATTTTATTTTTATAATTAAATTTATGATGGTCAACGTTCTAAAATAGCTCTAGTAAGTATAGAATTATTAATTTCTGAAAAATTGTTAAAAAGAAAAATCTAAAACTATGCAAAAATGTAAAAAACTAAAATAAAAAATTAATCAATACCATGACTGGAAGATTGTTCTAAAAAATTTTTGGAGCATATAGGATTACTGATATCAGATTGCTGCAAATAATTTTCAGTACTAACTTGGATATCGATTTCTGTTGAGTATGAAATACATTTATTTTATAAAAATTTACTGGAGCGGTTTCATAACTTTTACAAGATCTACATGATCATTATTAATTATAACAAAAATTATACAAATTTAAATTGTAAATACCTAAATTTAATAATTATTTTTTCAAACTTACCTTCGTTACTAAAACTCCTTTTTTCAATGACAAAATCAACATCCTCACTAATTGATTGAGCACATAGTTTTAATTTTTTGCATGCAGGAACACTTATTTCTAAAAAAAAATTTAAAATTAAACAACATCAAAGTAATTATTTACAAATGAATTGAAGCAAACAATAATATTTACTTTGTCTATTTATCCTCCTACTGACTCGGTTAATTTTGTTATTGTTGGTATTTCTTTGAGGAGAACCTTTCATTCCAGTATCAAAAATTGATGGAACTGAATCTGGATGTTTCTCAAAGAGCTCTCTTTTACTTAAAATTTTTGAACAAGTAGTATTTATTGTAATTCATTTAGTATATAAAATCAAATCTTAATAAAATTTGTTTACCAGTAATAAAGTGTGCTGAACAAACATAAACATTTGAAGACGTAGGAGACCACTGTTTTGACGAAGTGCTATCTGCAGCACGATTAATTGCATTTAACCATTTTCTTCTGACCGCTTCATTTTTAGGAATACGATAAAATTTAAGTTCATTGTTTTTCTTACAATTGTTTGTGCAACCTACAACACAACAACTCCTTGGCATCTTTTTGTCATAAAAAAAGTTTAAAACGCTGTTGATATTTATATGTTTGTTTTCCCTCCATTCAAGATGGTTAATTTATTTCGCAATTCGGCGTGACGTCACGCCGACTAGATGGATGATAACGAAAAAATTAAACCATTTATGGATGAAATTAAAAATTGGAATGTTGTTAAACTGAAAGAATTCCTGCAAGCAAGGAGTATTCCTCTTGGTGAAAATCCTTCAAAAAAAAAATTGTTAAAAAACGTTTATTATGCCAATAAACTTAAATTACAATTAAATAAAACTGTACAAGAAGAAACTGAAGAAATTAAATCCAGATCTCTTCAAAAATTAAAATTAAAATCAGGTGTCCAGCTTCCCCATCCTTTTGAAATCGGAAATTGGGTGTTAGAAAAAGAAGTAGTAATAAAATTATTACCAACCACAAACTATTTGGACATTGAAACTTATTCTTTTCTCACTCACAGCTCTAAAGCCTTGAAAGAAGGACATTCTCTTTATTCTTCAGGTCATGTAACCTCAGTTGCTTTTAACAGCTTATCAGATGCTGTAAAATTTTGTTATTTAAAAGGAACTGTAGTCCCTCAAACTAGAATAAATGATGAAGAATATGAATCATGGGTATGTTTGAATAAAAACGGAAGTATATTCACTGCAGAATGCAATTGTGTAGCCGGTTATGGAGAAAGCTGCAAACATATATTTGCTTTGTTGTTGTTTCTCGAAAAGCATGTGCGATTAGGAGATAATGTAACATGCACATCAGTAAAACAAAAGTGGGGGACTAAAACACAGAAGAGAAAATTGCATGAGCCAGATATATTTCAAAATATTTCCATTAAAAAAGTCAAATCAAACTTAGAAAATAGTAATCTAAAACTCAGTCGATTCTTATATGATCCTCGTCCTTATTATTTAAAGCAGTCAGAGTTTACAAAGGAAGATTGGGAAGCAGTTGCAGAAGCAACAGATGGAAAATGTGCTGTAATTTGCCTCAAGCCAAATTTACAGTCAGAATACTTTATGAAAAAATTACCTTTAAATGCAACTAAAAACAAAGTGCTACCACCTACCATAGAGCATTATGTAGCTCAGATAGAATGTTCTTATAAGAATGAATCAATAACATTTAAATGTGAAAAATTTTTAAGGACGTTTTCAATAACACCATCTCAAGCAGAATTTATAAAAGAAGCTACGATATCTCAATCAAAAAGTTTACTTTGGAAATCATATAGAGTTGGAACAATATCATCATCTATTGCTCATGCTGTCATAGCAAAATTTGATGTTGACTTGAAAGTGAAAAACAAAAAGGCAGCATTTAATTTATGTGCTCAAATTTTATGTTACAAAAATAATGCTAAAAGTAAATCAATTCAATGGGGTAACATGTTTGAATCCTATGCTCGAAAAAGATATATCAGGGAAATGAAAAAAACTCATAAAAACTTTACATGTTATCAAACCGGCCTAATAGTATCCATCAAAACACCTTATCTTACAGCAAGCCCAGATGGTATAACAAGTTGTACTTGTTGTGGGTTGGGTTTGCATGAAATTAAATGTCCATGGACATTTAGGCAGAAAAAAATATGTGAATATGCTCAAAGTGCTGAAAGTTTTTTTGAAAAAAATTCTTGTACTAACACATACTCACTGAAAAGTAGTCATCAATATCGCACCCAAATACAACACCAGTTGTTTATAAGTGGCTATCCTCATGCTGATTTCTATGTATGTTTAGCAAGTGATCAAAACTGTGAAAGAATTTATTCTGATCCTAACTATAAAAAAAATGAACAAAAATTTCAGAAATTTTTTACAGAGTATGTTTTCCCTGAATTGATAACTAAGAAACTTGAGAAAAAAGAAATAGTTACTACAATTTTAAATGATCTCATAAAGAAATGCATTAATGATTCAAACAGTAAACAAGTTAATGAAAAATTAACAAACGACATCATAAATCTTGATCAACAAAAAATATGACATTGTGCTGAAAATTTGATAAAAACATTTATATTATAAGTATTTTGTGATGTTTTGTTTTTTTTTTATACAAAAATAAAAAGAAAAAATAGAGATATCTTTTTATTAGTATCAGCATATTTAATTTACATCAGATAAATTACTTTACAATTGAGGGTTGTAAATTACTTAAAACTCCACAAATAATATATATGTAATCAATGAGATCTAGCATTGTTAGTGATAACTCGTTTTTACATATTTTAAATTCTTTAAGTCGTCGAATTGATCGCTCCACATGGACTCGTGATCTAGCAATTTCTTTGGCTGAGAGGACTTTAGTTCGTGTAAAATGTAGTCCTTTTTTTTTAAAAGGTGGACAAACCAATACGACTTTTTTTTTTAAGAGCAAATCTTGGATATTAAAACCTTTATCAGCCAAGCAAACAGATCCTTCAGAAAACATATTAATAACATTGCAGTTCTCTGTAATGTGTCTATCTGAAGCTTGGCCACCATAAGCTTTGGAGATAAAACTGAAAGAACCAGTTTTTGTTGTCACAACTAGTTTTTTTAATGTGTTACAACTTTTATAAGTACTAAATGTTTGATACTGTGCCTTCGCATTTGATGGTTTCTGAATTTTTTGCTCAGTACAGTCTATTATACCTTCTACGTTGTGTAACTTTCCAGAAAAATGCCTTGCTTTATATAACAAATTTGCTTCTTTTGTTGGCCAAAGAAGAAGAGGTTTTAACTCATTTCCAAAATAAGTAATCCAGGTAGTTAATATACTTGAGCATTGAGAATTAGAAATTGAAAATCTAAATGCTAAATCTTGAATAGCCAAGTCTAGTCGGAGCTTCATGCACATTAGTAGAATTTCATCCTCAATTGTTAAAGTGCGTTTATTCCCTGGTTTTTTTTTATTCTCGCTTCTAAATTTAAAAGATTGTGAAGGTTTTCCCTTGTAATAACATACCTTTTCATATTTTTTCTTTCCTTTACTAACTAAAAACATAAATACTTTTTTTGTGCACCCAGTGTAGAACTTTATCAATCTATCCGAATGGGATAACCTATTCCAAGTAAACTCTGCTTGTGGTATCAAAGAAAACTTACTCAGCAATCGTTTACGATGTTTTAATAACAAAGGTTTTTTTAGTATTCTTTTGGGAGTATTTTGAAGTATTTTTAAGTATTTTTCTAACGAAACAGAAACAGGAGCAACAGGTAATGCATAATCGTGATCATAATGAATATCCATAGGCTGAGTATTTTCATTTTGATGATGATAATCATTATTTTTATCATGATTAATTATATTTTGATCGTGATTATATTCATTTTGATAATGATTATCGCTAAGCTTAGCAACAAACTTTTTCTTGTTGAGTTCTGAGGATCTTTTTAATGGAGATTTTCGGTTTTTTAGCTCATTATCATAACCATTTAAATATTCTGTGGGGTAGGGATAAATATTAGTAGGTCGTCCCATTTTAAAATGATTTGAACAGACTGGCAAGTTAAGAGAAACTCTAAAATGACTTCTAAAAAGTCCAATTTTTGAATTCCATTTAGGCAACATCTTAGCGTCCTTGCATCTCCAAAATTTTAGTTGCAAACTACCATTAAAACTGTTAATATGGTCTTTGATAACGTATTTATTTGGATATCTTCTATCGTTGTTGCAGTTTTGAACGACGCAATGATCCCCCCCCACCCATTTTATAATTTATATAATTTTATTTTTTCTAATTTATATGTTTTATTTACTTAGTTTTTCTTTATTTATTTTCTTTAATTTACATAGTTAAAAATTGTTTTGGTTTGTTTGCGCCTCCGTTATCCCATCATGCTTTACGCGTGAAATTTGAAAAATTAATAGCGAAAAGGCGAATTATAAAATGTTAACTATTCAAAAACATGGTTTGGTTTTTACAATGGGTTGTTTTGACGGTGCAGAAGTTTGTGAACTGGTGAGCCTATATATATTAGACTCACTATCTAAAATAATAATTAAAGAAGATGTTGGACTATATCGTGACGATGGTTTGATAGTTTTTCGTAAAAAAACTAAATCACAAATTGATAGCCTACGAAAAAACATAATTAAAGTTATAAAAATGATCGGTTTTAAAAAAGAGATTCAAACAAACCTACCCGCAGTCAACTTCTTAGATGTCTCTTTTAACTTAGAAAAAAACTCTTACCGACCTTTCAAAAAACCAAATGAATATCTACGTTACATCTACACTGAGTCCAACCATCCTCCGCAAATAATAAAGCAAACTTCCATCTCTATCAACGACAGATTATCACAAAATTCCTCAAATGAAAAAACATTTAATTTATCTATACCAGAATACGAAGAAGAATTAAGAAGAAATGGCCTCACTGGTTTTAATTTAAAGTATAATCCCCAAAAAAGTGAAAAAAAAAAGAAATAAAAATATAAAATGGTTCAACCCCCCGTATAGTAAAAGCGTTTCTACCAATGTCGGACATATCTTCCTAAACTTAATCGACAAACATTTTTCAACATCCCACCCGCTAGGTAAACTATTCAATCGAAACACCATCAAAGTGAGTTACAGCTGCACCAAAAATATTGCGAAAATTATAAAAAGCCACAAAACAAAAGTCAGTTCAAAAAAACCAAAAGAATACCCACCCTGCAATTGCATAAATAAAGAAAACTACTCTATAATAGGAAAATGTAGAGCCTACAGCGTTATTTATAAATGTACAGTATCCCCTCGTAACACCTCAGAAAAAATATATATTGGCCTAGCAGAAGGTGAATGGAAGAAAAGATGGGCTAACTACAAACACTCATTCTCAAACAAAAAGATGAAAAATTCAACCACCCTTTCAAAGTATATATGGCAGATAAAAGAAAACTTAAAAATAACACCCAATTTAACCTGGTCAATAATTAAACAAGTCCCAGCCTACAGCAACGTAACAAAAAAATGCTTGCTTTGTCTTCATGAAAAACTTTGCATAATATCATACGCAAGAACTATTAAATAAAAAAACAGAAATAATATCTAAGTGCCGCCATGAAAACAAATTCTTGCTTGACAACCACGAGCCAAAAGATTAAAAAACCAAACCACGCTTGTAAATAGTTAACATTTTATAATTGTTTTAGAATGCCACGATGTTTATTGAGTATATTTTTTAACGAAAAAAACAATGTATTTTTTACCTGATGATAGCTAAACGCATGAAACTTTTAGTAGTAAAAATTATGTAGTTATTTTTTATTTAACCTCTTAAAAAAAAAAAAATTATATATATATTCTTGCGGCGAAAAAACCACGTGATCATTGCGTAATTAAAAACAAAAATATCTACCATTATGATATGGGGGCAAACAAACGCGCTGATTTCAGTACATCATTACTTAAACGCCTTGAAAATGTCTTATGATTATCAAGAAAAGTAATCTAAAAAAGCTGCTGAACGATACTAGAACAATATTTAGCGTTATATTGAAATAAATCTGTACAAATGCTTAAAGGAATCATGGAATTCAATTAATTCATCATTTTGAAATTATTGCACAGTTTACAGATGTAGTCAATAAATAAAACAAAAATATTACATATTGATATTCTAATAACATTTAAAAATTTTATATTTTGCTTAAAATTTTCCTCAGTGTAATATTTATTCCTCATGTTTTTAATATATGCGAAATAAATGTTATAAATAAAAAATATTTTTTACAGTATTATAATGAAATGATCAAAATTACTAATTACAACAACTTGAATTATAACATCGTAACAATATTTATAAAGTTTTTTAGTAAATAGTATGAGTATAAACAATATTATGTCTTGGCTTTTAAAAAATAACATAAATGACTTTTTATCTTCATTCACGAAGGTACTCTCTAAAACCAGTGACAACAGCAGAAACTCTACTAAAGAAAATAGAACCAATTTATGCTGAAAGCATTTACAAATTAATGATTTATGTATCATGACTTATGAGTGAGCTAACATACATATAATCACTTACCTAGCCAATGCTGCATTATTTTTAAACTACCATCATTCTCAGCTAAGTTAACTTGTTGTTTCATGTTGGTTCAAGACACTAACATCTTCCACTCCAGTCAACGAATTGTCAGTACTTATTTGTTCACTGACTTGAATAACTTGAGATTTATTGCAATGACTTTTTTGTACATAATATTCTAAAAAAAAAATAAGCATGTTTGAGGTATATAGTAAATACAAAATTTGTGCTTAACAAGCTATTGAACATTAATTTATTTAAAAATAAAAACAATAAACACATAATTTAAAAAGATAAAACTATATTATATAGATAAACATAAATAAAAAAGATAAAACTATATTATATAGTTTATCTTGTTGTTTATACAGTAAATACCAATACTATATAGTATATACTAATTGAATTGTTTAATCTATTTATTCTCCTTTCATTTCACATAACAATTGGTTATGTTGGAGGGATGATTTCACGATACATTTTTTTAGCACCTAACATATTTACTGAATGAACATAGTCAACATGCTTTTCAAAATTTTGAAAAGCATCTAGACTATGTTCTTTTTTTTCCTAAAAGAGAAACATACTTACAATGAATAAAAATATATAGACGAAAAAAACTTAATAAGTTCAAGAAAAATTTGTGCTCAAGTATTTTGACGATTCAAATACAAAACTTGCCAGATACAAAATGTTTTGAGCATACTTAGACATGTTTTGCGACCAAAGTTTGTTTTTGCAAGATGAATCAGTTCTATATAAAGCATAAAGCCCCGATCTTCTTCTCTTTGGATCAGGAAGCAAAATATAAAAAATCAAGTTCGGATGACTATTAACATTAATTGAACAATCAAAAACACATTTCTCCATTTTCAAGCGCTTTGTTTGCCCCCATACCATAATGGTAGCCGTTTAGTTAGTTAAATGACGTCACGTTCGCCGCAAGAATATATATATATATATATATATATATATATATATATATATATATATATATATATATATATATATATATATATATATATATATATAGGGCCACCAAGAGGGGGGGCACCAGGACAGTTTGTCCCGGGCGGCAGATGTCCATGGGGCGCCAGATGCCGAAGTTAAATAAAATAGTTTTTTTATTCTTAAAATTCTATAATTAAAATGTATATATTACTCGCGTTATATAATTGTTTTTATTCCTCAAAAAGTTTTAAAAAAATACGAATTCATCATTGATTTCGTATTCCATACGCTATTAAATTAAAAATGTCCCTTGAGATTTTTGCATTCTTCAGACTAAAGTAAAAAAAACGCAAACGTTGATAATTAGAAATCATTTTATTCAGAATTTAGAAAGTAATAGTAATTATTTTTCAACTATTCCTTATGATCGACTTATTTATGGTATTTCATGTTTACGATTTATTTATATTTAACTATTGAAATATTGATTTATGACATTAGCTTGAGTTTGCGTATTTGACTTGGCTATTATTTTATTGATGCGTACTGTTATTTACAGTAACTGTTGATAATGAATCGTAAAAAACTTTCTGGTGCCCAAAATCGGGCATTGGCTTCCAAAAGGGCAAAAGACTGTGAAAAAAATAAACAAACCCTCCAAGAATTAGGTTAGTTTTACAAAGCTACTAATCAAAATACTGATTTGAAGGTGAGTTAGTAGAAATATATAGGTCAATAAATATATTTCTTTTATTTCCGAAGCAATTTTAAAAAAATAATTAAAAAGTCGGCGTAATTAAATAAATCAGAACAAACAATGGAATCATCGTATTATGATGATGTTGATCTACATTCCCTTGGTTCAGTGGAAAATGAAACAGACGACAGTTTTAACGATGAATTAAAACCCGAAGAAAATAAAGGTTTTTATACAAATAATAATTCAAAATAGTTAAATAATCAATTAAGTATTAGATTTCAATTAATTTTTTTTTAATTCAGGCGTTGAAAATGATCCAGCACTCTGGCCATCGATTCTTAAGCAAAGAGAAAAAGAAGAGTTAATCAAAAAAAGTCCGTCAACAGGGCCTTTCCAAAAGAAGTTCTTTTCATTGCATTGCCTAATGGAGAAAAAGTTCAACGAGATTATCTGATATGGAGCCAATCGTCTAACTCTCTATTTTGTTTCCCGTGTTTTTTATTTGGGTGTGAAAATTCCGGATCCTATGGGGATCGATCTCTTCTTCGCTGGAATGGAGGAATAAAAAATGACTGGAGAAAATTGAGTGATCGTATCAAAAGCCATCATAGCAACCCAGTTCATCAAAGTCATTATCTCAATTGGAAGACTTTGCACTCAGCTCTTGTCGATCAGCGCGGGATCGACTCAGAGTTCCAAAAGGCACTAGAAAAGGAAGTAGCCAGATGGTGTGAAATACTTCGTTGTATTTTAGATGCAATTTTATTTTTAACATCTCAAAACTTATCCTTTAGAGGTAAATATTCTAGGCTAGATCTCTAAATACTTAAGACTAAATTCTTATTTTTAGTATTACAGAATTTCTATTATCTACATTTAATTAACTTAGAAAACATTGTTTTAGGGCAATATTCGTCGATGGAGAAGAACGAGAAAGGGAACTTTTTAAGTTGCCTTGAACTTATTTCTCATCACAACGAAACATTAAAGAATCATCTTGAAACAGTTGCTCGTCATCAAAATAAAGGCACCAGAATGCAAGCTCACTATCTCTCCTGGCTATCACAAAACGAATTCATCAGTGAATGCGTTTCATTAGTTCAAGCAGCAGTTGTGAAAGAAGTAAAAGATGCCGTTTATTTTACGATAATTACCAATGGGACCCCAGATGTATCTCACACCGAACAAATCACGTTTATTCTTCGATTTGTGCGATTCAAATCGGGTAAGATGATTTGGAAAGTTAAAGAACGATTTCTCAGCGTTGAAGATATGGAGAAAAAGAAAGGTGTAGATATTGCTTATTTAATTTGCAACGTTTTAGCGAAAGTTAATCTCGATTAACAAAAATTGAGAGGCCAAGGATACGGAAATTGTTCTAATATGGCTGGAATCTATAATGGAGCCCAAGCTCATGTACTGGAAAAAAATCCGTTCGTTTTATACATTCCTTGCGATGCTCATAGTTTAAATTTAGCTGGAGTTCATGCTGCTGAGTCTTGCGCTGAGATCAAAACGTTTTTTGGCAATATAAAAGCCCTCTACGTGTTCTTTAGTTGCAGCCCAGCAAGATGGAAAATTCTTTACGAAGAGACTGCTTTATCACTTCACAATCTCTCAGATACTAGATGGTCAGCCCACATAGCAGCTGTAAAACCTTTAGTGAAGAAACCACGAGAAATCATTGCTGCTCTGGATAGAACTGTTAATCAACTTGACCTAACTGCGGACATGTTGAATCAAACGAAATCGTTGGGCAAATATTTTAGTCATTTGAATCAGTAGTTCTTCTGACCATTTGGTATAAGACACTGCAAAATATTGATGTTAGTCGATGTCTCCAGTCGGAGTCAATCACCATTGAAGAAGAAGTCATCTTCATTCAACTACTTCTAGATAACCTAGGTCGCATTCGTTAGTCGTGGAATTGTATTTTGACTGAAGCAAAGCTAGTGGCTGGAAACCTAGGCTTCGAAACAGAATTTAAAGTAAAACACACAAGAAGAGTGAAAAAATTCCACGAGGAACCATCAAATACAGCCCACTACCATGACGATACAGAAAAGAATTTTGAAGTAAATATTTTCAACGTGGCATTGAACCACATAATTCTACAAATTCAGTCAAGGTTCAATGTGGTGAAAAAGATTTCTTCTCAGTTTTCATTTATCTGGCTTCAGTATGAAGACCCTTCTTCACAAGATGACAAAGCTCGTTTACTTGCGAAATTCTATTCAAATGACGTTAAAGAAGACGATCTTATTGAGGAAATTTTCTACTTTGACCGGTTGAAAGCATTGTCCTAGTTCAGTAAAGGCAACTCTCTCAATCTTTTAAATCAAATATATTCCAAAGGCTTACAACCAATTTTCCCGTCGTTATGCATACTTTTGCGCATCTTCCACACAATGCCAGTATCCGTTGCAGAGGGTGAAAGATCTTTTAGTAAACTGAAGATTATAAAAAATCACTTCAGAGCCACCATGGGTCAAGAGCGACTTTCAAATCTTATGGCGTTGTCTATTGAAAATGATCTCGCGAAATCATTGTCATATGATGAAGTAATTTCTAATTTTGCCTCGAAAAAAGCGCGAAAATTTTATTTAAATTAGGAATTGTTTATGATGTGGTTAGTTAGCAAAAAAAAAAAATAAAAAAAAAGTAAAAGTAGCTATAAAGGCTTTGAGCTGGGATCGAACCCGCAACCCTTGAGTCACAAGTCCAATGGTGTAACCACTGCGCCACGGCTCATATATATATATATATATATATATATATATATATATATATATATATATATATATATATATATATATATATATATATATATATATATATATATATATATATATATATATATATATATATATATATACATATATATATATACATACATATATATATATATATATATATATATATATATATATATATATATATATATATATATATATATATATATATATATATATATATATATATATATATATATATATATATATATATATATATATATATATATATATATATATATATATATATATATATATATATATATATATATATATATATATATATATATATATTGACTTTTATAGGCCAATAAACTTTTTCTGTTTATATTAAAAAGACACCACTTTGAGCAAGTCTCCACGCGAGATCATAACAAGCGAAAAAATAAGATTATTTTATGCCGCCTAACTGCAGATTTACCCAATCAAAAATACATTGTTCATTAATTTTTTATTTTTATTGATGTTTTTACTGTTATCATTTTTTTTTTCTTTTGAAAGTCATTCTAATTGTTTTTTGAAATTCTTATTTTATTAACATCATTAACAAAAAGCAACATATCGTCAATAACAAAAAACTTTTTAAATAAAATAAGAGGGCATGAAAAAAAAAAAAAAAAAAAAGAGCATGGAGATGAAAAAGATGAAATCATTAAAAACCTATTATCTCGAGTTGAACATTTAGAACTTTTAGAAAGACAGAATAAAAATGTACAAACTTTAGATAATGTTGTTGTTGAAAACGAAAAAGCATGGAACATCGTAGCTGGAAAAAATATTAAGAAGACTAAAGAGCAAATTAACATCATAAATACTATTGCAAATGAAACAGCGGAACGAATGAAAAAAGAAAATAACATACTGATTTACGGAATAACGCAATGTAATAATGAAGACATTTTAGAAAAAAACAAGTTTGATCAAAATGAAATAAAAACAATTATGTCTAAAATTAATACAGACGCTATAAAAATAAAAATATTGACACGTCTAAGATCTAAAACCGAAGGTAAAACAGCTCCAATAATTCTTGAATTAGAAAGTAAAGCATGTAGAAATTTAATGTTAAAAAATGCATACAATAACAAGGAAAAAATTAATGGTATTTATTTTAACGTTGATATGACTGAAGCAGAAAGGTATCAACTAAGAAATCAAACCAAAAAACTTAATACTTCAAATACTAATACATCATCGATATATTATGGTATCAGGGATTACAAAATAGTGAAATTAAAACGTACACAAAATTAGCAATCAATGAGTTTAAATATTAGTTCATTTAAACCACTTTTGCCTAATAATAAATTCAATAAAAAAAACATTGTGACGAATACATTGACTAAATATGTTAAAAAAATCTCAGACTCGTGATGTAATTATTTCCGAAAAACGTAGTATAGATATAACTAAAAATTGTCTAAGTTGTAGATACACAAATACTACATCATTAAACAATAAATTTGACTTGTTCCTATTAGATATTGCAACCTTTAAACCTGATATATACGTGATCACAGAAACTTGGTTTAATGAAAACTCAGTTACACATGTAAATGGTTATCAAATAATCCATAATAATAGATCAAATAGGAGTTCAGTTAAAGCACATGGAGGTGGTGTTGCTATCTATGTAAAAGAAGTTCTTTTAGTTTACTCACCCAATGATAGTTTCACTAAAAATATCAACATTGAACATACTTGGTGTATTTTAAGTATAAAAGATGAACAAATTTTACTTGGCTGTAGAAATAAATAATTATATCTGTGAAATAATAGAGGCAGCTAAAAATAAAATTGATCATAACAGGTACTCTGGTTTACTTATTTCAGGAGATTTTAATTACCTAAATATAATATGGAAAAAAAAAAAATGTTCAAACCATGAAAAAATATGATAAATACTCCACCAAATTTGTTGAATATATAAATGACAACTACTTACATCAAGCAGTTATGTCACCTACATATAATGCAGATTTAATTAATGGTAATATCTTAGATTTAATTTTAACAGAAACACCTGAGCGTATAAATAAAATCCATCATAACCCAACTCTAGGCAACACAAGAAATGGACACCAAATACTTAGCTGGAAATATTTTTTAAAAAACACTACTAAAAAGGAAATGTCAAACTATGGGAAATCTGGATTTAACTATAAACTTGGAAATTTCCAGTCATAAATAAAGCTATCAATAAAAATGATTGGGAAAGTCTTTTTGGAAAAAATAGTATTAATGAGTGCTATGAAATATTCTTAAATATCTATGATAAATTATGCAACAAATATATTCCTAAAAAAAATATACTTTAATATACAACCACAACCCAAACCTTGGATTGATAGAGAAGCAAAAAAAGCAATAAGAAACAAAACAAGTTTAAGGCACAAACTATTATCTAATGGTTTTAAATATGACCAGCTGAAAGTCCAATATATTTTAAGCAACAAAACAATAAAAAATCTTATTAAACAAAAAGAATAAATTATGAAAAAAAATAGCTGACTCATCGAAAGAAAATCCAAAACTGTTTTATGCATATGTTAATTCAAACAGAAAAAATAAAATTAGGCATTAATATAATAACAGATAAAAATGGTTCTTTACAAACAAATCGTGATGATATTGCTAATATCCTCAATGAAAACTTTCACCCAGTATTTGTTATACAAGATCCAACAAATTTTCCTAATATTGCATTAAAAACAAGCAAGACTTTAGAAGTAGATATAGACTCGATAATAACTCAAGACATCGTTAGAATTAAACTAAGTGAACTAAATGTCAATAAAGCATTAGGAGCAGATGGTGTAAGTTCATATGTGTTAAAAAAATTTCAAAATAGTTTTTGCAAACCTCTAGAGTTACTATTCAAAAGATCCTTACAAGAAGAACAAATTCCACTCATATGGAAAACGGCTAATGTAACACCACTACACAAGAATCGAGATAAAAATGATCCTGCAAACTATAGACCAATTTCATTAACGTCAATACCATGCAAAATTCTAGAGTCAATCTTAGGTAACAAAATAATGGATTACATGTTAGCAAACAATTTATTAAATAGTAACCAACATGGTTTTCAAAAGAACAAAAGCTGCACTACTAATCTACTAGAAACACAAGATATTTTACTTGATGCTATTGAGAATGGCTGGTGTGTTGATGTGTTGTATACAGATTTCTCAAAAACTTTTGATAAAGTACCTCGTATGCGATTGATGTCAAAGTTAATATCATATGGTATAGTTGGAGTAATTCTAAATTGGATAGAAGCCTATTTACATAATAGAAAGCAACGAGTAATTTTAGGGGATTGTGTATCAAAATGGCTAACAGTTGAGAGTGGAGTTCCACAAGGTTCTGTCCTTGGGCCTCTTCTGTTTCTTATTTTTATAAACGATCTGGCAGGCACATTAAAAAATAATATTAAATTGTATGCAGATGATAGCAAAATTATAAATATTTTTAAATCAGGTGAAGAAATCCGTATAAACAAATTACAACTAGATATTGATAATATTATGAAATGGTCGTCACTAT